ATGTGGTGTAGTTACAGTCGTCTGAAGCTCCCTGTGGGCGCTGGACATGTTCTGCTGCTCCCTGTGTGCCCTGGGCCTGGTGTGCCCTGGGCCTGGGGTGTCTGATGTAGCATGAGCTAGCTCAAATGGTTGCACAGTGTATCTGTTTTACTGCTGCAAAGCTAAACACAGACATGCTGGTCTTCCCTGGGCAGTGAGTATCTTCCGAGGCCTCCAGAGCAAGATCCCATGGACCCACGATTGCCATGTTTAGTACTCTTCTCTTTCTGTTTAACCGAAAGCTTGGTTTTCAATTTGTCTGTTTCCTCCGGTCACGCCCTCATTGGCAATAGAAAGCAGCTGGCCAGGGTTTTCAGCACAAGTGCTTCAAGCACACCCGGGTCGTCTTGACTGTTCCCAGACCCTCTGCTGGACAGTTGGGTTCTGCTGGCCTCTGAGCAGCTGTCCTGTCTGAACTTCTCACCTTCCTCTTAACTGGGCCCTGAACCTCCCCTGTGCTCCGTGGATCCTCTTTTATTTTAAAATACACTGTGGTAAAGTTAGGGAGAAATGGTGTTAGTAGCTTGTATCCCTTCCTGATTCTGTATGTGTTGCCTATATTCTTGGCAATCATTAATCAGATGAGCACTCACATTTTAAAATGCTTGTAGAAGCACAGTGAGGTAATACCCAAGGATACATGTTGACATGTACTATGCTGCATCTATGGGTTGTTACTTCATTTTTCATACTTGAGTATCTTTGTCACAGCGTTCTACGAAATTTAAAAAAGTCAAGTAAACTTCATTTTGTTAAATGATTTTTAAATTTCATGAAGATCTGTTTTCGTAGAAGACATATGCAAACTAGAACACTAATGAATAATTACGATGGGTTGACATATTTTACAAAATTATTTTCCACATAATTTAGTGTCCTTGTAAATGTTTAAAGGAATGATTGAGATAGAAAACAGCTTTCTCTTTAAAGTTTCACGGGCACAGAGGGAAATGAGTGGTGGTTATTTTTCCCTTTGTTGCTAATGGGTTTTTGGTTATATAAGCAAGCGTGTTGAAAGAATTGAGCCAAAATTGAGGAACTAAGTAATTTCAAATATTAAGTTTATTATTACAGTAAAGTGAATTTTAATAAGCTAGGGTCGGGATTTCTCCGCAGCTGGAGAACTTGATGTCAGTTTTCTGTGGTTACTCTCTCAGTGTTGTAAGACAGTGTTTACCATAGCAACCACAATCACACACAACTGTCTTCTTCATCCTCACTGCAAGCAAGAGGCATCACCCTCTGTGCCCCCGGAGACTCAGCTGTACACTGTGGCACATGTTTCGTGTTGTACAGTAAAACATTAACTAGGCCCTTGCAGCTACCACTCCCGTTAACTTCAAAACAAACCTAACTTATTTTCCTCTTTAGAATGTTGAAAAAAAAACTAATGGTTTTTGTGTATCACAAAGGCAGTCTAAATGTCAATAGTGAGTTATAAGGTAAGAATAAAAAATTATCTAGATATGCAAACACATGTATTTGATTAGAAATCTGATTATGAAGTCATCCAAAAAGAAAAATCTAATGGAGCAGACTGTCTTCTTTTGTTTTAGTTGGTGTTTTTTTTTTAGTATGAATGCTAATCTCTGACTTAGTGGATTATCATCCAGACTTTTTCTTAGAGAAATGGCTGGTATCGTTTATTTAATATGTGTGTTAAATATCTCTTAAGTTTTTGTCTGCACCATTTCTCTTCTTTAAGAAGTATTCTTGTATGTGTTTGATTTTCCTCACATGTGTGTATGTGCACTGTGTGTGCCTGCTGAGTGAGGAGGCCAGTAGATGACTCTGACTCTGGAGGCTCTAGAGCTAGGTTACTAATGGTTGAGACACCATATAAGTGCTGAGACTTCATTCCTCTGCAGTATCAGGAAATGCTGTTAACCACTGAGCCATCTCTCTCGCTCCATATTCCCTACTGGTTATGACATTTTTGCTTACAGAAGTTCTGTGGTCTCAGCTAAATACAATTTTGAAGGGACATTAGTGTTCAGCCACTTTCTTTTCTTTTTTTTTTTTTCTTTCTTTTTCTTCCCTTGTTTTGTTTTGTTTTTTTGAGACAGGGTTTCTCTGTGTAGCTTTGTAGACTAGGCTGGCCTCGAACTTGCAAAGATCCGCCTGCCTCTGCCTCCCAAGTGCTGGTATTAAAGGCGCTGGCCTCCTTTTTCTTTTAATTTATTCTTCTATACAATACATCCTGACCACAGCCTCCCCTCGATCCACTCCTTCCTCCCCCACAACACCTCCCGTCTCCCTCAGATCCACTCCTACTCCAGGGATATCAAGCAAACACAGTATTACAAGATGCAGTAAGACTAGGCACAAACGTTCATATCAAGACTGAACTAGGCAACCCAGTAAGAGGAAAAGGGTCCCCAGAGCAGGCAAAAGAGTCAGAGACATCCCACCCCCACTGTTAGGAGTCCCTCAAAAACCCCAAGATCACAACCACATCGTGTATACAGAAGACAGACCTAGGGCAGATTCATGCAGGCTCCGTGACAGCTGCTTCTGTCTCTGTGAGCCCCCATGAGGGAGCCCTGCCGAGTTGATTTGGTCAGTGGGCTGTGTTCTACTGGTACCCCGCCCCGTCTGACTCCTACAGTCTTCCTTGACCCTCTGCAGGCTTCCCCAGGCTCAGATGGGAGGGGCACAAACGGAGACCTCCATTTTAGCCTCTCTTTCCTCGTAATGTCTGACTTGGGCCTCTGCGCCCGCTGCCACCTGCCGCCAGAGGAAGCCACCCTGGTGACAGCTGGACAAGGTACCCATCTCTGAGTATAGTAGAATATCATCGGGAATCACTGATGTTTGTTTTTTTCGTCTTCACCAGTCATGTTAGGTGCTACTCCAGGTCCTTGGGCTAGCCAGCCTCCTGTCCCTGGCCATCCAGCGCGTGGGCTCCCTCTTGTGGTTGAACCAGACACTGATGGCCACTCCCACAGTTCTGTGCCCCTTGGCCCCCGCACATCTCGCAGGCAGGGCAGGTGGAAGTTTTGTGGCTGGATTGGTGTCCCTGGCTTCTCTTTCCATAGCCTGTACGGTACCTTCCCGCACCAAAGAGACTAGACCATAGCGGGGAAGGCTCCAAGCGGGTGTCAGCTTGACCTCTCTTTCTGGAAACCCTCATATTACTTCATTTAGAACCCTGACACCTGGGCACTCTGCCAGAGCAGTCTCATCCTGACGAGAAGGACGGGGCTGCAGACTAGAGAGAGCCCCTGACAGGGATGGTGGCTATGTGGCTGGAGACAGCTCTGAGGAGTTTCCTCCCCATTCAAATCCATACCTTTTCTATCTCTCGTTAGAAAACAAACAGGTTTCCAAGGGTTAATAGTAAAACACAGCGAAATAAAATATAGTAAGATAAAACAAAAACGATCACATTGGAGTTGGCCATTGTTACTCTTTTTTTTTTCTTAAGGTTAAAAATTCCTGACTCTTGAATTTATGACAGAAAGTAGACTCTGATTCATCCTCTGTTGGAGACTGACAGTAGACCTTTTAGCATTGCATTCTTTTGTTGGAAACAGTTCCATATCCCATTTTCAGCCAGCCGTGCTCCTTAGCTGCCAGCTTGACGCTGCGTGTCCTGTTGCAAGTTCGTCCTAACCCGGCCAGGTCCCTGTTATGACTGCTGTCTTAATTCCCAGCATTGCAAGTCTGCTCTGTCCCCATAGGGGAGGAGACAGGACGGGGATGAGCCTCAGGAACATGCCCCGTGAACAGACCGGGGCTGTTTCACCTCAGAAAAACAACCACCAGAGACAGAGCAGCCACCTTTGCCTTCTGGTGTCTCAGTGACAAGTCTGTGAAAGGAGCTTACTTGGAGCGTGAGCACCAGTGACAGGACAAGTTGAGTCTCATTACCCCCACCCCAGGAAGTTCTTCTCGCAAAGGAAGGTAGCTCACTTTCTAGCTGGCGGGTTAGATGAGAATGCCTTCTTGGTGGTCTCGGGGACAGTTTTTGAAGCTCTGGGACTTTAAGGAATCTAATTTGGAAACTACTGATCAAGACCTTAACCACACGATTTAAAAAAGAAAATTAGTCATTCCAAATGTTTATTTTTTACTATAATTGTTCAATATAAAAAGTAAGCCATCAAAGGATTCTGAGTAGCAGAATGACATGTTTGTTTGTATTTTGGAAGTCACTGTGTTGACATTGCAGTCAACATCGGGTTCCCAGAAACCAAGTCGTTCGGAGGCCACAGTGCTGTTGGTCCCCTTTCTTAGGGCATAGGCAAAAAATGCTTAGATATTGAAACACTTCTGTTGAAACCACTTTTGGATCAGTTTTGGGGAGAGGAGAGTCTGAATTGGTTCTCATCCTCCTTGCTATGAGGACTGAGTGGATAGTCTCAGCCTTGGCGGAGGTGGGGTGAGGGGAAGAGCCGCAGGTTTGGTGGGAACAGTCTTGCATTTCGCCTCCGAAGTTAACTGCTAGCTCAGATACACCTCCACTAAGTAGCACAATAACAAACAGTGGCTAACTTGTAAACGGAGCTGGAGACAGTTTGAGGTGAAGAGATGGCTTCCGGAGACCAAGACATAAATGAGACGGGCAAAGCCATAAGAGCTCAAGGGGCTGAGGAACTTACAAGGACTCAGTCAAATGAAGGGAACTTCATCAGTCCCTCAGTTTCTGAACCGCCTAAAGTCTGCCATTATAATCAGAACAGACATAAACATAAAAGAACAGAAATGTTTAAAGGTACTGTCCTCGAAACTGGTACTATTCATAATAGAATTGTGATAAAGATTCCATTAAAATAATGAAGTTTTTTATAGTCAAGAGTATTTGGGCTCTGTATGTAGTGTCTCATATTTATTTGGCCTGGGTCACTGCTATGAACTGTGTTTTACTATATGGCTCACTGCAAGTAATTCCCCCTCTAATATTGCCATACTTCTCTGAGTGTCACGCTTACACCCCCTTCTGTATCTGTCTGCCTAAGGAAATGCCACGTCACCCCAAGGACAAAGACCGTCTTTCATGGACTACTTTGATAAGCAGGGCTTCAAGAACAAGAGTCACGAAAACTGTAATCAGAATGTGCGTGAGTCCTGCCCCGTGTCACAAAGTGTTTTTCCTGAGGACTGGAGAGTCCCGCAAGATGGAGACTTTGACTTTGTAAGTACACTTTCTTTCTTCTTTCTACATCTTTTTCATCACATTGAGGGACATAGTTTATAAATACGAACCATGTGTCTGTAAGTCATAGACTGTATTAATTTATGACCTTGGCTATGGCTATAATTTAGCTTACTTATACAACTATACTAACAGCAAAATGTAGATGTTGCTAAATTAGTCACTTCAAATTTAGAGGAACATGTAGGTCCTCCAAAATACTATGCATGATAACCATTTCAGTTATATATATATTAAAAAACATGCAGAGTCAAATATACTCTGACATGACGTGCATGTGGACTCTTCCTCATGGCTACATGCTGAAAACTAACTCATGTGAGTGTTAACTCTGCTTGGTTTCCTCAATAAAACTGTGTCTGGTTAGCATGGAGCTGCAGGATAAAACTGTCTAGTTAAATGGCTTCAGTATAGGGCTGGGTGTTGGTGGTGCATGCCTTTAATCCCAGCACTCAGGAGGCAGAGACAGGAGGATTTCTGTCAGTTCAAGGCCAGCGTGGTCTACATAGAGAAACCCTATCCCAAAAAAAAAAAAAACCCAAAAAACAAAGAACAGCATGGCTTCAGTATAAAACTGTGTCTAGTTAACATGGCTTCAGTATAAAACTGTGTCTAGTTAACATGGAGCTTCAGGATGAAACTGTCTCTAGTTAACATGGCTTCAGTATAAAACTGTGTCTAGTTAACATGGCTTCAGTATGAAACTGTGTCTAGTTAACATGGCTTCAGTATGAAACTGTGTCTAGTTAACATGGCTTCAGTATAAACTGTCTCTAGTTAACATGGCTTCAGTATGAAACTGTGTCTAATTAACATGGCTTCAGTATGAAACTGTGTCTAGTTAACATGGCTTCAGTATAAACTGTGTCTAGTTAACATGGCTTCAGTATGAAACTGTCTCTAGTTAACATGGCTTCAGTATGAAACTGTGTCTAGTTAACATGGCTTCAGTATGAAACTGTGTCTAGTTAACATGGCTTCAGTATGAAACTGTCTCTAGTTAACATGGAGCTTCAGTATGAAACTGTGTCTAGTTAACATGGCTTCAGTATGAAACTGTCTCTAGTTAACATGGCTTCAGTATGAAACTGTGTTTAGTTAACATGGCTTCAGTATGAAACTGTGTCTAGTTAACATGGAGCTTCAGGATGAAACTGTCTCTAGTTAACATGGCTTCAGTATGAAACTGTGTCTAGTTAACATGGCTTCAGTATGAAACTGTCTCTAGTTAACATGGCTTCAGTATGAAACTGTGTCTAGTTAACATGGCTTCAGTATGAAACTGTGTCTAGTTAACATGGCTTCAGTATGAAACTGTGTCTAGTTAACATGGCTTCAGTATGAAACTGTCTCTAGTTAACATGGCTTCAGTATGAAACTGTGTCTAGTTAACATGGCTTCAGTATGAAACTGTGTCTAGTTAACATGGCTTCAGTATAAACTGTCTCTAGTTAACATGGCTTCAGTATGAAACTGTCTCTAGTTAACATGGAGCTTCAGTATGAAACTGTGTCTAGTTAACATGGCTTCAGTATGAAACTGTGTCTAGTTAACATGGCTTCAGTATGAAACTGTCTCTAGTTAACATGGCTTCAGTATGAAACTGTGTCTAGTTAACATGGCTTCAGTATGAAACTGTGTCTAGTTAACATGGGTTCAGTATGAAACTGTCTCTAGTTAACATGGAGCTTCAGTATGAAACTGTGTCTAGTTAACATGGCTTCAGTATGAAACTGTCTCTAGTTAACATGGCTTCAGTATGAAACTGTGTTTAGTTAACATGGGTTCAATATGAAACTGTGTCTAGTTAACATGGAGCTTCAGGATGAAACTGTCTCTAGTTAACATGGCTTCAGTATGAAACTGTGTCTAGTTAACATGGCTTCAGTATGAAACTGTGCCCTAGTGTGTGTTTTGTTTCATTTTCTTTATTTCTTCTATCTGGTTCATTATTATTTCTTTAAAGAATGCAAAGAATACATATAAATAATTTTAATGCATTTATTTAGAGAACTTGAAAAACTTTTAAGTTCTCATGATGAACTCTTTGATGGAAAAAATTTCAGTAAAACTTTTAATTACTTTGTTACTTTTGCGAAGTATTCTATAATAGCTATTTTCCAAATAAAATTTAATCATTTATAATACTTATTAGTAGACATGATATGTATAAGCAAATAAAACATAATAGAAACACATCTTAAAAATTTAAATAGTATTAACCCACTTTTTAGATGTCATGATAAGTGATTTGGGATTATAATTATTTTAAAGTAGTGACTTTAAAATCACCTTTATTTTTGTGTATATATGTATGTGTGTATTTGTGTGTATCTTATGTATATGTGTGTGGTGATATTTATGATTTATTAAAGCATGCCTGAGGTTTTAGAAAACAAAGCCATCCTCAAGCTATAGAGATCAGGTGGTGGTGGTGCACACCTTTAATCCCACTCACTTGGGAGGTAGAGATAGACAGATCTCTGCTAGTTCAAAGCACAAGGCACACCGAGCTACATGAAACTGATCCAGTCCTAAAGAGAAACAGCTCACACAAAGGTGGTCTCAGCACTTGGGATCACACGCCTTTAGTCCTAGGACTCCACAGAGGTATTTAAGACAGGAACAGGGAGGGTATCGGGGCTGGCGTTCATTCTCCAGCCACACTGAGGATAGGAAGGCATAGAGTCTCTAGCTACCTTGAGGAGAGAATGGCAGTCTGAGTGAATCTGAGGAGCAGTGAAGTCAGGAGCAGTCTGAGGATCGCCCCTTTAATCTGAGCCGAGGTAGAGGTAAGAGCTAGTGGCTGGCTACTTTGCTTTTCTGATCTTCAGCCTGAAACTTGAATCCCAGTATCAGTCTCTGGGTCTTTTGTTTTTTTGTGCTACGTATGTGTGTATGTATGGGTTGTGTGTGTTTAGAAACCAGAAGGCAGAAATTGGTCCTCACTTCCCACGGTGTGATTTCTGGGTTCTGTGCTTGGGCCACTGGGTGTGGGGTCACATGTCTTTGCGCACTGAACCGTTTTGCTGGCCTGGATTATAAATATTTTTAAGTTTGAATGCTTTTCTCATTAATGTCTTCAATACTTAAAATCTTTTCATAATGAGGCATTAAGATTTAAAAATCTCTCCTCAGTAAATTTAGTAATAACTACTAGTAAATGTTAGCACTGTGTTCTATGGGTTAGCGTGAAAACAATCGCAGTATCTATTTACCATTTTTTTCAATATTGAAGAACTTAGAAAAACAAAAGCTGTATTTCTTTTGTTCTGATAAGGTTTCATTTTAAGCCATCTACTTCAAAAATACATAAATTATTTAGAATCCTGACATTCTAGCTGTAAATCATTCATGAGTTTAATGAATAATGTAGAATATTTAGCATCAAAAAATTTCTGTCTTGTTTCAGAATAAATCTTAACCTCTTGGGTGATTTAAAATGAGCATACAATGGGTGGTGGATAAAACACCACAGATGAGAAATAGTGAGTTAGATGGATTAACTTTGATTCAGTAGTCTTTGGAACTATCCTCCAACTTAATGGCTTTAAGTGCTTTAAGATCACATTTATTTTGTATGTTTGAGTGTTTGTGTGGGCACGCATGTGCCACAGCACATATTCTATATCAGAGGACAGTCTACAATAGTCAGCTCCCTTTTCCTTTTATTTGCTCATCATTTTGTAGAATAGCAGTGTGTCTGGTTTCATTAAGTGGCCTATCTGTGGTTCTCACCTAGGGTTTCTCAAGTGGCTTCAGGAATTTATCATCATGACCAGGGCAAGCCGAATGGCCTCTGAGTTTATCTGTTTAGATTTCTGACAGACGTGTTAGGTGTGACTACGATTCCATGATTCCGTCCAATGCCCTTAGGCAGGCAGGTTCCCCATATACTACCCCTTGAGGGTTTGTGCAGCCGTGGAAGCCTTAGAACGCCGTGTGATCACAAGTTGTGAGCCTCTTAACCGCGACCCAGAATCCACGCTGTCCATTTAGATAACACCAGAAACAGGGAGCCTGAGACTAAAAAGCAGAAGGAAACAGTGGCGGAGCCCCCACAGTCTCCCTTCCAGTGGTCTCCGGTGAGCTAAGACCCTGCTGCTGGGCCACTCACACCTCGAATGTTCTGTCACTGCCCAGTAGTGCCACCACTTAACAGTGATGAATGTCATCATTGGAGGACAGTCAACGTCCAAAATATAGCCAAGGTAGGTAATTATTTTGACAGACGGTTGGTTCTGGGAATGCTGGATATGCCTAAGAATAAAGCCTGGCACTTGCCTTGTTCTGTGTTCAAAAAGTTAAGCCAAGTCAATCAAAGGTATAAATCTAGGAACTGGAGAAGCAGGGAGATTGCTGACGCTAGGTTCCTTCCTTTTTTTCCGGATATGACAGCAAAAGAACAAGCAATAGAGCAGTAAGTAAACCAGACTACATCAAACCTAACGACATGTGCGTTGAAGGATGCTAGCACTGCAGTGAAGACTAGCCCACGGCATTGGGAAAACAGTTTAAGTTACCTATTTGGTGATGGGTTGATATCTAAAGTGTTTAATGAACAATTAAACAGCGTCGGGTGAACAAAGGAGCTAAACAGCAATTTCTCCAATGAAGTACTGACAAATACACTAACAGGCGCTCAGTGTCACCAGCCATTAGAGAGATTAAACGTAAAGACAAAGTGAACCTTAAAACCCCTTTAACAACAGTGAAGCAAAACCCTCAACACAGAACTTGTAGTGGTGCGTGCGTGTGCGTGTGAGTGTGCGTGTGCGTGTGCATGTGTGTATTCTTCCCCTTCTGCCTAAGACCAACTACAGAAAACAACCAAGTTTTGATGAGGTTCAGTTAGGATATTATAAAGTAAATGGGTGAAAAATATTGGTGGCTTTATTTTCTATTCATGTTTTTCCTGCTGATTTATTAAAATTCAAACCTTGGACATTTACCTTTCCTCACTCTTACAGATCTCTGAC